AAAAACAAAAACAAAAAAAAAAAACCTCAGCATCACCCACTTCTGGTGCGGGTCTGTGTGAGTGGTGAACCTGAGTGGTGAACCTGAGTGGTGAACCTGAGTGGTGAAGGCTGCACAGAAGTCTGTCAGTCAGCCTCCCCACAATCACAGACATCTACACCTCTAGATGCAGGAAGAGGGCCACCTGCATCATGAAGGACCCCACTCACCCAGCACACACACTTTTTGCCCCACTCCCCTCAGGAAGGAGGTTAAGGAGCATTAAGTGTAGAACCACTAGATTCATGAATCTCTAACTAGAATAATCACTGTGAAAAACCATATCATGTTGCTGCTGATCTGTTTCATGTTGCTGCTGATCTGTTTCAATGTTGATGTGTTCATGCGTGCACATCTGCTCACAGACTCATGTTCATGTTTGTGCTGATGTTCAATGTTTTATGTTATGAGTGCTTGGTGTATATTTAGTTGATGTTTTTCTTAGTTCATATCTTAGATGTTATTACTGTTTTTCTTATACATTTTATTGTTGGATGTAACTGGGACCTTGTGTACATTATTTCGCTCCACCACATGTACCACATGAGCTGCGAATAACAATAATCTCGGACTCTGAAAGGGTTAAACACTCCCCCCCCCCCCCCCCCAACACCAGTGTAAAGAAAAACGGCGAAAGATCGTCAAAAAACCTTGAGATCACTTCTAAAGATTATATAAATGATTATAATTAAATCTGGCTGCTTTTAATGTATTTTCAGAATCAGATAAAGTTGTTTTGTTCTGTATTTTTGCTCCGATGAAATGGGATACTCTGCCTTTGCATCTGACTCGAGGAAAAACCCTAAATTATTTATTTTTTTAGTCAGAACTTTTACATTTGCACAATCATATAAGTAAGTTTTTAATGTCAGAGTGTTTGCACGAAGCTTTAACAAACACGTCATTTAAATCAAACTAGCTACTACTAGCTCTGAATGCTAACAACAGTAGTAGCATCGAGGCTAAAATTACAGTCAACAATAAACAAATAAATGCAGGAACCGTGTTAGAAAGCCAGACTCCAGCACTGCAACACAGTGGATGGATGACCGTGACAGACAGATAACTACACAACACCAAGCAAGTTTTCTTACCGTAAACTCGCTAAAATTACAGCCGTAAACAAACGGACCGATCAGCGGGAGGTACTTCCGGTAGGAACAGCTCACATGGCACCGAAAAATATGTTTGAAACTGAAAAAAACAGATTTGAAACTGAAAAATAATTTTGAAATTGAAAAAAAAAATTTCACAAGAAAATAATTTTGAAACTGAAAAATAAAAAAAAAACAGTTTGAAACTGTAAAAAAAAAAAAAAAAAGTTCAAAACTACTTTTCAGATTGAAGTTGATCATTTTCAGTTTAAAACTTTTGGCCCCGTTTTAGTGTGGGGGCGGGGCCTCAGATGACGGGGGTGTGGAATCATGATTGACAGCTCAACGCATTGAGACGACGTTCTCTGCAGACCAAAAGTGGGCGTTTCTGTAGACAACACTGATTGGCTAGCTGTATTTTCTGCTCTTTAGGTAAGTTACGTCAGCTCTTTTGTAAAGCTGAAGGTTTCTAAGAAACAACATTATATCTGCTGTCAAACACAAGAAGATTCTCTTTTGTTCTTGGGTTGTAGGCTGCACCTGACTTGAGTGTGGTCTGAGTACAATGAAATATGAAGCATCTGAAGCAAAACCTGCTCCCATTTATCAAAAAGTCTGGTCTCAATTAAAGACCATGAGTCCTGTAACGAGATAATGACCCAAAACAAACGCTAAAAACAAAATTAGCTCTTTAGAAGTTCTTCTATGAGATCTGATCTGTATGAAAGGAGCTGAAACATGGAGTAGGGTTGACCCTTAAAATGTGAGACAGCTGAGGAAGTTAACCAGTAAACAGAAATCTCTGCTCCAGTTGCAGAAATCTTACAGAAACTGTGAATCAATCATCTGTAGTGACTGATTTAAAAGGTTTAACAAGAAAATGTGAAGTTAAAGGAAACATCCTTTGTCCCAAAGCCTGTTGAAGTATCATTATTATTTTGGTTACTTTGTTTTTCTTTATTTATGAATTAAATGTAACTATTTGCACATTATTCAACAACCAAAACAGATTTAGTTTTTTAATGTAATGGCTAGGTATTAAAAAAACAAACATGTATTACCATTACCCCATTACCCATTTATGTTGGGATTTACCTGTCTAAATAAAGGTTGAATGACAAAAAAAAATGTTGCTCTTATTTTGAAATGTAAGCCGAAGTTCTGTGTGAGGCGGAAAGAAAAGTTATGGAGACGCCGCTAATGTTGAACCGGTTAACACCAAAAACATATGTCTGTGGTTAACACAATCTGCCAATAACACCTTGTTTTTACAATCTGCCAATAACACCTTGTTTTTACAATCTGCCAATAACACCTTGTTTTTACAATCTGCCAATAACACCTTGTTTGTTTTTCATCCAATCAGATGTGGCCGTCCTGACACAACTTTTTTCTTATCGTCCAATCAGATGTGGCCCTCCAGATAAGTTTTCTTATCGTCCAATCAGATGTGGTCCTTCAGATACGCCTTTTTTCTTATTGTCCAATCAGATGTGGCCCTCTTGACAAGCTTGTTTTTTATCATCCAATCAGATGTGGCCCTCTTGATACTCTTCTCTTTTTGTCTGCAGAGATACATGAATGCAGCAGCTATTCCCCGCTGTTGCATTCAGGAACTGTGGGAACAGAAATTGTTAAACCTCACTGATATTCTGTGTTGATGTGATTGGTTTTGAAATAAATCATGCTTCACCAATATAAGCAGCTTAAGTCAATATATGATGCACTTCTCAGAGGAAAAAAATATGATCTTGATAGATTTGTACAGCATTTTCAGTTTATATTGGAGATTTCCCATGCTTTCAAAGAATCACACGTCCTGTGTCGCCGCCATATTGGGTGGGTTTCTCCTCTCTCTAAGAACCAATGGGAGTAAACACAAAGCGCGCAGCTAAGCCGGTATTTTTACTGATTATCAGTTTTATTGATTGATTTACTGATTTATACTTTCAAGAAGCAGTAATTTTCCACCCATTAAATTTGTAGTGCATTTGATTCATTTATAGTAGATTGTTTTTTTGAATGTCCAGAGGACCAGATTGAACTTTTTTGGATTTTTCTACCTGGATTATTGAGCATGCATCAGGATTGTATTAGAGTCAAACATATATTGTTGCTGCTATTTCTGTCATCATTTGTTAAATATCATGAATATTTGTAGCAGTCAATTAACGTTTTTACATAACAAAAATTACTAGGTGCTCTTGAGGTGTCTTATTTTGCCATGTTCATATTGATTAGGCCTGTCACAATAAAAAATTTTGCTTGGCGATAAATTGTCTCAGAAATTATTGCTATAAACGATAATGTTGTTTGAAATTTGACAATAGTTAGTAATTATTGTAAAATTTAAGAAGAAATGCTGGTTATTTTTTGTGTGTAGTACTTTTTTTTACCACTTGATGGCAGTATAAGACTCTTTGAACCGAAGGATGGATAGTGAGTGAGCAACCAGTGTGTCTCTTTAAGAAAAATGGGAGGGACGCTTTTAACGATCCAAAAATGTGATTTTGGATCGTTAAAACTGAATTTAAAGAGTGAAGAGAAAGGCAGGAGTCAGTGAAGAGCACCAGAGTTGAGCCTTTTGTCATCCATTGTCTTCAGTATAGAGACATGAAGAAATGATACAGCTGATAAATGAAAATGAGGTCGATAATTTTCATTTATCATGCAATTAATTGATTTGTTGTTTATTGCAACAGGCCTAATATTGATGAAATGGTTTCTTTTATCTGTCAATCGTGGGTTTTGTCATCAACTTGGACACATTGTTGAGGATGATCCCTGACCTGCTCCAAGTTCAGCAGTATGTCTGCACATACCGCTTCAGTCAGGATCACTTGGAGCTTTTCTTCAATTCTGTCAGGCCATCATGCAGGTAAAATTGTAGCATAAATACATTTAAAACAAAAATAAATTTAAAACAATGTAATGTAAAATATAATGTAATTGTAATAATAATAATGTAATATGTTATGTTTACTGTAAAATAAATGTAACATTTATAAATAGTCTTTTTAGTTCATGAACCAGACTGGTGGATCGGTACCACCAGGTTGGGCAAATTCTAGTAGAGATTTTTTTTATACCTATACATCCCTAGTTTACAGTATATTTTGATATGATAGACCTCTTCAGACACCAGTAAGTATCTTTTTATAGCCAACCTGTGGGGAAAATGGTTATACAGTTTCCTTACTTACCCTCAGAAAATATGTATTTTATAGCTGTGACTGTCCTCATCAAACATCTCTGTAATCTAAGTGTGTAAATGTTTTATTGTTTTTTTTTAGGAGGCTGGAATAACAATCCCACTGCAGGGCAGTTCCAGGGCATTTTACACCATCTGATGGTCCTTTGTGGTGTCTTACCAAGTGGGTCTGGCAACGTGGCAGCACAAGATGAGACAGTGTCCTTATCAGCTGCAGACATGCACTCTGCTGTAATGGCAGAAGAGATTCTGTCCCAATTTGCAAACATTTCTGGAGTCATATGTGACCACAGTTACCTGCTCACCCACTTTGGTGATCTTGTAGACAATGTCCTGGTCCACATTTCAGGGTTTGTTGTCAGAAAAATTCTGAAAAACCTGTCCTGTGAGGTGTGCCATACAAGCCTCATCACAGCTGCTGTACCCTCATCCTTTGACCAGAGCTACCGCCTGCTTCAACTAAAAAACAATGGTGGGCTGATGATCCCCTCAGAGGGTATGGGGTGCCATTTGTAAAGTTACACAATCAAAAATTAACAGCAATATTTTGTTTATTTAGCCTTTCATAAGAAAAAAAGGGGTTATTTTTTCAGTCATATTTTCACCATGTTACTCATACATTTATAAATCGCATAGTTCCATACTAAATATTTAATTTACAAGCTAAATATTTAGTTAGCAAGCTCCACACTAAATATTGTTTACAACTGTCTAAGCTAAATGTTTAATTTACAAACTAAATATTCAACTTGCAAGTTAAATATTTAGTTGGTGAACTAAATATTTAGGTGTAAATTAAATATTTAATTCCTAAACTAAATATTTATTTTCCAAGCTAAATATTTAATTTCCAAACTAAGCATTTAATTTATAAGCTAAACATTTAATTCCTAAACTAAATATTTAATTTGCTAACTAAATATTTAGCTCAGACCTAAATATTTACCTTCCAAGTTAAATATTTAGGTCCGAGCTAAATGTTTAGTTAGCAAATTAAATATTTGTTTTGGAAATTAAACATTTAGCTTAGACATTAACCTTTTGTTGTAAACAGCATTTAGTGTGGAGCTTGCTAACTAAATATTTAACGTTCAAGTTAAATATTTAGTTTATAAACTAAATATTTAGCTTGCTAACTAAATATTTAACTTGCAAGTTAAGTATTTAGTTTGTGAACTAAATATTTAGCTTGTAAATTAAATATTTAGTTTGGAATTATGACATTTATGAATGTATGAATAACATGGTGAAAATATGATTTTGAAAAAATAAACCCAATTTTTTTTTCCTTTTGAAATGCTAAATAAATCAAAATATTGCTGTTGATTTTTGACAGTATAACTTTACAAACGGCACCCCATAAGAGGGAACAGTGAAGGTGGTCAGAGCAGCCGAGCGTGTGATTCACCAAAACTCAATAAACAAGGTGTCAGTGTGTCCTTTGTCAACCATTTTGTTTGGGCTGAGATTGGTTCAGAAGATGTGTTTTTACTCGAGCACATTGCAGAAACCCAATTCGGAATTGAGAACCATCGTTTCGTGCTTATGTCATTTGTCATATCTTTTTTCACAAACTCAGGCTGCACCACATCTCAAAATTAATTACCCTGGAGTTACAGAGTGCCAGCACACACAAGAAGCTTCAAGGATTCAAGTTTCTTTGTCGTTCCACCACATGTGGTACATGTGGTGAAATGAAATAGTGTACACAGGGTCCCAGTTACATCCAACAAAAGTATTAAAACGTAAAAGAAAAACAGTAATAAGATCTAAGATAGCTGTACAAACCAGTTTTTTTTTCAAGGGTTTTTGCTCACCAGCACCAGTTTCTAGTTTGTGACTACCGCAGTTTGTGCATGC